CTGGAGGGATGAAGGAAGAAAAATGTGTTGTTGTCTGTAACTACAGTTGCAGTTCTTAATATAACTTAATAGTGTAGCAGTGGAATAGTGTGTGAGGTCAGATGGGGCTTAGACTAGGAAATAATATGGTGATTCACTTTTCCAAAGCAACTTGCTTTTGCTTTTAAACAACTCTTAATTGAAAAAGAACATAGTAATGTAATTAGAATGCTTTTGTTGTTGTTGCAAATGATAGCTTTTCCTCCTCCTCAATTTTATTTTGTACTGAAGTTAATGAATTTTTAAAAAACTTCAATTGAGTGAACAATCTTTTAAAACAAAGATTAGGTTTTTTTGTCATTTATTGCCTTTTGAGTTTTTCTTTTGACAGCAGGAACAAAAGGACAGTTATATTTCTATTTTTACTTGACCAGAATACAAATCAAAATAGCAAAATAACTACTGCATTTGGAGGGTGGCAGCTTTAATAAATCAGTTAAATACTTCAGAGTTCATAATTTTTCCTGTTTTCAGTATGGGGATTTTTTATGAATGCTTTAATGCTTTACCTCAAGTATCACCTTGAAGACTTGAGACAAAGTGCAGCACTGTTCTGTTTATAGTAGCTGCAAAAAATTACTGATTTCCTCTGTAAATCACTGGAAATTATTAGAAGTATGCATTTTTCAACAAAAATAACACTGTATTACTCTCTTGGATTTTTTTTCTTAAAGGAGACTTTTCTGGAGTGCTACAAAGAAATGAATTTTTATTATGGATTGACATTAAAATCGTTTAGATGTTGCTTTAGAATGGTGTGTATTCCCTGCTCCAAAGGATCTGTCACCATACTTCAGTTTTGTAAGTCTCTGAAAAAGCATTGGCTTATAGCTATGCAAAAGTTGAAAATTTGATGAAGCAACGATTTATTGTGCAAAGCACTAGTGGCACTGGTTCTGCATATTTTAATGGAAGTATAGATTATTCATTCAAAACAAGGCTAAATGCAAATGGTGATGGTGCATTGTTGGTGATATTACTGCAGAAAAATGCCTTTAAGACATAAAACCTGTGTCTCATGGCTGAAAGTTTGCCTCTTCTCCACCTACTGTCCCCCAAACAGATTAATTGACCCTATCAAAATTTAACTTCAGCAGAGCACAGCTATAGTTTGTAGTTCAAAAGGAATTTAGAACTAAGAATGACCTTGATAATTGACACCATCTGTAGTTTGAACTTCCATAAACTCACCTTTCCAGTAATTCCTAAAAGCATGGCACTAGCCTCAATCAGTTTTGAATTTTATAAATAGAAGCACCCTTGGCCTTTTCTGTGGTATGTGGAAAATTGTTACACCTTTTTTCCAAAGGTGTAATGAATTCGGAAAACTTGGTATTCTGTAGGGATGTTTGTTTTCAGTTGTTTATATTATTCCCCTGCAATTCAGAGCCCTTTCTCCTCAGGAATATAGTCATAATAAACTTGCATAATTTGTTAGGTCTTTAATTCTTTTTCCCTCCTTCTGAAAAGGCACTCCATACACTTCTCCCGGAGTTCTAGGAATAGTAATAAAAGAACCCTATTCCTCCTCCTCTTGGTCTCTTTTCCCTTGCTTTTTCATACATCTAGTACTTTCTTCCACTCCTCTTTATTAGCAGATCATAGGTAGGATGTTATCTAGTTCTTGAATCCAGGAGCTGTGTGGAACAGTGTTGGAACTGCCCATATCAAAGGAAGAGGATGAAGATGTCTTGCATTTCAAGTTGCTTTTACAGCCTTCTCTGAATGTGTCAATATAAATTCAAAATGAATTCATTGCAAGTGGAGTTTCCCTGTGTAAAACAGTGCAAAATAAAGGATATTTGATTGTTAAACAGGCTATTTAGTTCCACTTGTTTTCAGTTTTCTGTATAAATTGTCCTATTCTTTGCTCATGGATCAAGTCAAACTTGATACTGTTTTTATTCCAGATGATTGTGGCAAAGCACTGTCTAACTTGTTTATGTCTCAATTTCTTCACTCCATTGGAAGAGGTTTTCTTTGGTAGTTTCAAAGCTTATTTTAGTTCTTGACTTTAACTACTGTATTAAACATAAAATATTGCATCCTAAAATTGTCTCACGCTAGTTTATGTGACTGTTTTCTTTTGTCTAGGAATTTTACAGACATGTTGTAAGGCAGCTGCAGTTGGAAACCTGCTGCTGTGTCTTGGAAGCCCGCTGAAGTATCATTCTTTGCATGAGCTTTCAAACTACTATTTGACTAAAGACAGCATAGTGAATCTTTTAAGTCTGAGATGTTAGAGTGTGCTGATGAGGAACTGTTTTAACTGAGGTGGTTTATTTAATCAATCTTGTTGAACTGTTTTGATCATTCAAGCTGGAACATATCTGCACAGAGCCAGGTCTCATTGCAATCCTACTTAAAGGCAATTTGTAGGCAATTTTCTTTTAAGACTGATGTTTTGTCCACAGACAAAACCTGCTTTTTCATCTGAGATTTTGTTGATTTGTTATAAATGGAATAGTATTAGCTGGGTGCTTTACATTAGCAAAACTAAGCTCTCAAATGTGACACGTCTGAAGCAGAATAGCATACTGCCCAGTGGAGGGACACATTAAGTAAGCACTCTGGTCTGTACAGATCCTGGTTTTTTTGGTTTTGTGTTTGGCGGGGAGTAGAGTAACTATCCATAGCTACCTCAGTGATCTGATTGGGGTCTGGGTGTACTAATACCTTGCTGGTTGCATGTGCTACCTAAGCTGGTCCTGTTTGGGTTTTTTCAGTCCTAAAGAGGACATAATATAGTCTTGGGGTAAAACACTTAACAAAATAGGATCAAGGTCATTACAAGTATTTCTTGTGAAGACCCTGCCTCCCAGTCTCCAACTTCACAGGTCATACCAAGTCATGCACTTCATGCTGGTCTGTTCCTACTCAGATACAAATCCGGAATGAATGTTTGTCATTATGTGGCTCAAATAAAGCAAAATGTGCTAACCACAACAAAAACTGAGATTTGTTGCTAAACACCTAGTTCCTTTAATATCCCTTTTCTGGCTCAGTCATTCCTGAATTTTGAAAGCTCTGTTTGTAGTATAAATGGAAATTAATAGCTTTGATAATAGAATTTGTATGTGTAATGCAGTCTCCTATGGATTAAGGTTTAAATCACTTAACAGAGCTTACTTAATATTATGTACTCTCTGACCTCATTAGAAAAAGATGGAAACTGTACTGTCCTTACCAGCTGCAAACTCTTTGACACATTGATCATTGTTCTGATTACCGTTTGCATTGACAGGCTGCTGTTCTGAAAAGAAAAGGAAGGGAAACATGAAACCTGGGGGCCACGTGTGATATGGTATCTCAGTGCAGGACAGCATGAATCTGCACTGCGTGTGATTACCAGACAGTAAATCAGCTATGCTGTGCTAGAGCCAGAAAGCAGTAGCTTTCACACTTGCTGCCTGTTTCCCACTCATTGTAAAGCCCTGCCCTATCACTTGATAGACCTGGAAAGGAAGCGCAGAGGAAGCAAGTGCCACTGATGGTTCAAAATGTTCCAGGGTGACTGGAAACTTTGAGCAATGGCCTGGGTGAGAAGAACAAGACCTTATTGACAGGGTTCAATCCTAGTCAAGTCTGTTTCCCATCAGCTTCCTAAGTAATCACAGCCTTTCTTTTTTTCATCTCCTTTGCACTCTCTGGTCTGAGTCTCCCACTTTCACCTCCTGCTTTATTTGATTTATTTTTTTTTTTTATTTTAGTGGACTGAGCAACCAAGGAGAACTAGGAAGTTTTCCTCCCTCTACTAAATCCTGGAGGAATTACTAATGAAAAAGATGACAAAATCATTCAAGATAGCTGTCATCCCCTGCTCTGGCCCCATGTTCCTCCACATTTTCCATTGAATATTCTTTGAATTTCTCCTTTCAGTAGGGTCTTGTTCTTATCATTTGATGTACAGAAATACATATGGTTCCAGTGATGCCATGGCAGATGTGGTTTGTCATGTTCCCAGTTAATGGGTGTCATAGACTGATGGCTGTTGTTGTAGGGCTGTAGCCCTGTAAAATTTTGTGCATACACACATGTACATATAGTGGGAGAAGTATGTAAGCTGAGACTTTCTTTCTTGTTTTCAAGCTTTCTAGACTCTGTAAGACTTTACAAATAAAGGAACCAATTTTTTTTTCTAATGCTGAAGTTTTAAACATAGAGCAACATGCCCCTCGTACACTGCACTGTGCCATTTTGCATAGATATACCCAGGGTTTTGCCATCAATGCAGTAAACAGTCTCTACTGGCAGTCCTGCTGCTCTAGGGCCTCATAGTGCTTCTCAAATTTCTTACTTCAGTATCTTTTTCTTCTTAGGCTCTCTGTGAGACAAAAAGGTTCATTTAACTTGAGGTAAAAAAAAAAATTCTCTGAAGAAAACATACTTTTAAAGGACAACCACAGAGATGTGTCTTTGTTTTGCACTTAAATGCTCTGACCATGATCACGACAGAGCAGATGCACATAATAGGGTTTAAGCACATAAGCATATGTGGCATCTCAGTGTTTTTATGGTCTTTTTGTAGCAAGCCATTTGGCTCTGGTGAAATACATTTGTGTATTAAAGGAACAAACAATTCAAAAAGTCAGTGAGAAGATGCAGACTTTGGGCATGAGTACTGTTCACTGAATTGGACAGTGAGAACTCTTTTGGAGGGGTAAACTTTACTGGGTTTGTGATGGAGTGTACACATTTATAAAGATGATATGACTTATTGTATTTGGTAATCCTGGCAATACTCATACCAGAAAAACCATCTTATTGCAGGAAAATGGGCACTAGCATGTGTTTTAAAGTATTGTCTTCTGGGGAGTTTATTAGCTGAAGTTTGACAAGGATGTAAATGAAAAAAAAAAGAAAATTCCTAAAAATAAACAACCCAAATTCTCAACCCTCAATGATACATAAAATGTGAAAATGGCTTGTATTCTGTAGTATAAATATAGGGTGTGCTAGGGATGTTTTTGAAAACTCAGTTGGTCGGGCAAGCAGAGTTACTGCTGCCTTCAGAAGCTGTGTGGAAGGACCGTGTGTGCAAGGGAAATGCCAGCGTGACACAGTGCTACAGAGACATATTGGTTTGCAGAGTATGCCAAGCTTACACTACTTTGGTTTTAAATATTCTTCCTTCCTTATGTCCAAAATAGTTCATATTCAATAAGTCTGGTTAGGATATTTTGGAAAGATGTCCCCAGGCACTTCATAATGGAACTTGGGAAGAAATTCAAGAGACAGGAGTTCTCAACTAGCATTTGTAAGCAAGTTATCTTAAAATATGCTGCTGCTTAATATAAAAGTAACTAAAAAGAGTCTATAGTATTTTTAGATCAGTATATGAATCTAGAGAAATCAAAGTATATGCTTGTTACCCCATCAACTCACAACAAGGTTATTTTCTTCCCTTTTTTGAGATCTTAAGCAGTCCAAATCTCCCAGGCCTGTTCAATGTGTTTCTAACATTTTCCTATGTCTTACTATTCCCAGGATGGATCGTACTTGGCTGAGTTCCTGTTGGAAAAAGGCTACGAGGTGAGTGACTCGGTGACTGGTTGCAGGCTGATGGAATCATTTGGATGCTGCAGCTCCGTCCGGCTTCCTCTGCTTCTGTCCTTCTCTGTGTATGTTTTCCACTCCAGCCCTAGATAACAAATCAAAACTCCAGAGAGGAATGTGCAACATGGCCTGTAATCATGCCAGGTTATTGTACTATTTATCATCTAATGTCCACTAGTGGATTCCCCCTTCTCCTCAGGGTATAGCTGCTTTGCATGTTTCCCGCCAACTCAGATAAGCAGCGACCTGCGTGAGCCAAAACTGTAAGGAATTAGGGAATAATTTATTATGCAATGTACCACATAAAGGAATAAGAATCTCTTGTTTGTTCTCTTTTCCCCCCTCTCTCTTTGCAGTAAAGGCCCTTTTATTTTGGCAGTTATATTTCAGCAATGAAAATCTTGCATTTTGCTTTCCCTGTTTAAAATGCAAAAAAAACCCCCAAACAACAAACCCAAAACAACCTATATTTTGGTAGAGTTGCTTTCTACCTTTTCTCTTAGATTTATTATATTCTTGCTTAGCATATGATTTTTACTTACCTTTTCCTTGAATTAAGGAGTCTGATTCCTTCTTACTGCATACTTTTCCCTGGCAAAATTACATTTCTTGTGACCCAGCAAAGCAATAATCACATTGTTGCCATCTATATGATTTGATGTGTTTGAACTGATGTTGACATAAATGTAAGAATATTTGCCTTCTCAGTCATGCAAGATGCTTCCAAAAGGTGCAATAATGGAAGGAGAGGGGTGATCAATTTCATTTCATTTTTAGTAAAAGCTAATGCTTGTTCTAATATTGAATTTTATTACTTCTGTTGTAATACTGCTTCATAGCTTAGTGAGAAGTCTCTTTTCAGCCAGTCTGTGCTTTCCATGCTTTTGCACCAGGTTAATCTTGCCTTGCTTATTCCATCCTTTCTCCTGCTTTGTTGATTGATTTGCTTATTGATATTGGCTTTTCAGTGTTGTAAATTGATTTTTTCCTTTTTTACTATTTCTTCATTCCATTTGTGGAAGAGACACATCACTGTGGTTGCTTCTGCTCATCATCATGGCTGGGCTTTGCGAACGAAGATTTAGGAAGGCTCTATCCACATTTGTTACCTACACGCTGGTGGCTAATGAGGCCAATACGAGATAGACATATCCAATTACAAAAGGCACAGCAGAAAGACTCCTTAGGTGGTATATTCTGCAGGACATGATTCTTTCTGCGTTGTCTTTTCTCCTCGAGAGTGATCCTGTGTGCTTTCTCAAAGGAAGCAGCAGCGTTATAGATGGTGTGTCTCCAGGCCTCCCGACTGGAGGCCAGAGTAGACCAGTTATGTTGATCAATATGGCCCAGGCTGAGATGTTGTTTCAGGGAGTCCTTGTATCTTTTCTTCGGGGCTCCTCTCATGCAACAGTTCACCATAAAGCAAGATCTTAGGGAGGCAGTGGTCCTTCTTACTTAAGGCGTGCCCTGCCCATCGCAGCTGTGTTCTCAGCAACATGGCCTCGATACTTGTGACAGCTACTTGCTCTAGAACAGATGTATTGGTCACAAAATCTGACCAGTGGATGTTTAGGATTGTACGGAGACAGCGTTGATGGAAGCGTTCTAGGAGACGCAGGTGGTGGCGGTAAATGACCCATGGTTCGAAACCATTTAAGAGAGTAGACAGCACTATGGCTCTGTAAACACTGATCTTTGTACTTTTCTTCAAGTGTTTGTTACACCATACTCTTTTATGGAGTTTTCCAAAAGCACTATATGCCTTTGCTAACCTGTTGTCTATCTCCACGTCAATCTTACCATCCAAGGAGATGAGGCTACCTAGGTAATTAAACTGATGGACTGATTTGAGCTCTGATTGGCCAATAGTGATATGGGGATGATGGAAGACTTCCTGAGGTGCAGGTTGATAGAGAACTTCTGTCTTCTTTAAGCTGACTTCCAGCCCAAAGAGCTCAGCAGCATCTGCAAAGCAGGATGTTAAATGCTGCAGAGCTGCTTCTGTGTGGGCGACAAGGGCAACGTCATCAGCACAGAGCAGCTCCCCGACAAGATGGTTTAAGGTCTTGGTGTGGGCCTTCAGTCACCTTAGGTTGAATAGGCTTCCATCAGTACGGTATCGAATGTAGACACTGTCCTGATCATTCTACCTGAAAGTCAGTGTGGTTTCAGAGCCAACAGAAGCACCACAGACATGGTGTTTGTTCTCAGACAACTGCAAGAGAAGTGTAGGGAACAGAACAAAGGTCTCTGTGTAACCTTTGTTGACCTCACCAAGGCTTTCGATACTGTGAGCAGAAAAGGTCTGTGGCAGATTTTGGAATGTTTAGGTTGTCCCCCCAAGTTCCTCAAAATGATCATCTCACTCCATGAGGATCAGCACCGCCAAGTCAGATATGGCAATGCACTTTCTGAGCCCTTTCTAATAAAGAATGGTGTGAAACAAGGTTGCTTCTGCTCCTTTGAAGGCAAAAGCACATACTCTCTCCTAGTCCACAATGAAGCTGGGAACTGCCAACAGCAAATAAAATGAAATATAACCCTTTCCACAATAGAAAGGTTACTGTATTTGGGTAGAGATTTTTTCTTCTGTTCCTAAACTCTCTGTCACTTTCTTGGAATTCTTTCCTGTGTTCCCAGTTAGACATCTTTTCTTCTGAATAACTGAACACAAGAGCCCACGTGATAACTGATTGCCTCCCTAACCAAGATGCTTCATTTAACTTGTTTTGTTTTGTTTTTTAATTTCAATCTATTTAAAGATCTGGGCCTGTTGGGAAAAATCCACTGATCTTACATTCTTAACCAGATTAACCAGTTTGCACACATTGTGGCTTGTCACAGAGTTTGCATTTCACCTGTCCCATGCAGACAAAGGTACCTTTCATCAGTTTTTTTACAATTACACTGCTGTCATGGATTAAGCATTTGACAGGTTTTCCTGCTCTTGTATGTGCATACCAGAAAAAGGAGTGGGAGAAAAAAAAAAAGAAAAGAAAAAAAAGCAGAGTTCACATGCTTTCTTCTTATTGCTGGATGCAACAGGCTCTCTGGGTTTGTCTGTTTACTGAAACTTTTGAAGTCCTGGGATGATTGCATTTAGCACATCTCATTGGTCAAATGTTGGAATCACAGTCATTCAGCTGACACAAAGCTCTTGCAAGCCCAGTCTTTCATCAAGCTTTGAGCTGGCAAGATTTGACTTACTGATTAATCGTTGACATGACCTTGAATTTTAGCATGATTTCATTCAGAGATAGATAATTGAGTGCTCAAAAAGTCCCTCATCAGAACCTTAAGCCAAAATCTTTAATTTTGCTAGAAAAATCACAGCATCATTTAGGTTGGAAAAGACCTCTGAGATCATCTAGTCCAACTGTTAATGCAACACAGCCAAGTCCATCACCAAACCATGTCCCTAAATGCAAGTTCTACATGTTTATGAAGTACCTCCAGGGTTGGTGACTCACCCGCTTCTCTGGGCAGCCTGTTCCAGTGTTTGGCAACCCTTTGCATGAAGAAATTTTTTCCTAATATTCAGTCTAAACCTCCCCTCTTGTAGAGCACCTCAGTTAGCTTCCTTTAGAATAATTTGTTGCTTTAAAACTGTGAAGTCTGATATTTTACTCAGCAAACTTAGTTCATTTGAGTACTCAAAATATTTCCAGCATCTTTTGTAAAACTGAAGATATTATGGAAGGGTCTTTTTTTTTTTAGATAGTGTTTCTCTGTAAACCTGATGTCCCTATAAATTATCCACACATTCTATAACTAATTATTTTGATATGGCTTTTGACTACATATCTTTGAAAATTTATCTTCATAAATTCATTATTTGATGAAAATTTCTTTTACAGGGCATGTTTCTCAGTGCCTCATTGATCCTCAAAGTGCAAATATTTGAATTGTAGAACATGGTATGTTGTGAGTGTGCTGTGTGACTGGGCACACAGGAGATTTTATGCAAGGAAATTGGCATCATAAATTTGACTTGCAGTTGTAAAGATGACTATTGAGCTGTTTTTAGAGATTTTGACACCAAAATGTCATTCTTAAAGCAGCAAACTGGTCTCAATCTGCAGTTGTGTACACTTTTCTATTCATTTAAATTTTTGACTTATGATTGAATGAAAAACGTTTTCTGTGTCAATAAGCATAGCTTGTGTTATGTGTAAAATGAAAATCCCCAAACCAAACCAAAGCCCTAAACACTGCCTGTTCCTGCTGCTCTGTTCTTGCAGGTACAAGTTAACAGGAAGTGAGAAAGTAAAGCAATGGCCTGACCAAACCAAGTGTAGGATACATCAAAGTGTAAGGGATCACTTTCAGAAATAAAAGGCAGGGAGAGTTGGGACAGTCAGATGCTTAAGCTTGGTTTCACTTGTACAAGTGCAACTTCTGCAGCTGATAACCTAAGCTAATATGAATTTTACCAGCAGGCATCATGATCCTGTCTTACAGGAGAGGAGGAAACAGGGTCAGTGTTCGAATTTCTCTGATGTATTAGACAAAAATGATCTTTTCTTTAGTGTTAGTCAGAACCAGTGGGGCTTTTTTTTCCCACCAACTTATTTATCGTGGCTGCTTAAAGGAAATTCCCAAGCTGGATTTCAGCCTCAGGCTTGTCTGTGTGTCGTGTAACCCACTGGAGAACACTGACTCATGAGGTCCACAAAACAGCACTGACTGTTCTCGCTGTTCTTCCAACACCCCAGGAAGTGAATGACAGCTGATTTCTAAAATATATTTGGGCCTTGCAGCTATTGCTTCTTCTTTCCCCTTGTCTTTTTCTTCCCTTCTCTCTTCTCTGCTCACTCTCTCCTTTCCATAGTCCCATCTCCTTCTGCTGCTTTTTCCATGCCAGTCATCTCTGCCTCCAGAAAGTCTTCACTGCAACCAGGGAGAAATGCTTTTCTTGGCATTCATATATTTCTTCTCCAATGCTGGTAATAACATCAAATATCACACACTAGGAGACGGTGCTCTAGGGCAATTCAATATGTTTTCTGTACTGTGTGATGCTCCAGCTGCTAGTGGTATCAGCAAGGGAGAAGGGGAAAGCACTCGAGTACTCAAGTAAATATGACGGCATCTCCAAGTATGTTATTGTTTGGATAACTGCCCACCTGTAGGAATAGATACAACCTCTGATTACCTGATATAAGGGTTAGGTCTGTGCATATGAATATTTTGAGTGATGGTGATAAACACTTTCCTCTTAATGTTTCCCACTTATCTTTTGCATCTTAACTTGTTCAATCCCCAGGTGCATGGCATCGTTCGTCGGTCTAGTTCTTTTAATACAGGCCGGATTGAACATCTCTATAAGAACCCACAGGCTCACATTGAAGGAAGTAAGACTTTTTTTTTTTATTTAAGGTGGTATATGTTATTTAGTCTGTTCTATCAGCTTGGCGGAGAAAGGTCCCTGGGAGAAGGGAGGGAATCCCATTTTCCTGTGCTTGTGTTAGCTAGCTGCTCTATCTCAGAAAGAAAAGGGACCATTTTTCTCTGAAGATGTGGCATGAAGTATAGATGCTCTTGTGTGTGTGAATTACAAAGAGTGGAAAATATGAGGGGCCCGGGAAAGCACTTTGTTGGGTAGAAATGCTGCCAGAGTTCACACATAGCTGGGCAGTGGCAGTTAAAAAATGGCTGGGCCTGCAAAAAGCTGTGTGAGGTTAAAAACACTGAAATGTTAGAATAGTAAAGTGGGGGGGGGGGGGTTGAGGCACTTATCTTAAGTACTCCAATTCTGTTTCCTCATGAGTTTCTGAGTGTCTGATGGAGGTGAAGGTTTGGAAGCAGCCTGTATGACAGCACGAGTAAGACGTGATAAGTTCTTTCTGATGACAGGAAGAATGAATCTTTGGACCTTTATGAATTTCTACACGCAAGGAAGTGATTACTTGCTTTCCCTGAAGGAAAGGCATTGCTCTTGGAAATTTGCTGAAAATTTACTGTATTCTCTATTACCACTGATAATTTGGGAAGTTGAAATTATTACCTTTAATGTACACATTGTAAAAATTGTTTGAGTATTTTACCTTAAAGAAGGTTAAGTGGTCACTTAATGAGAAGCAACTCAAATGTTGGATGGGTCCAGTTCAGCAGAAGGACTGAGCACTTTAACAAGCATGTAGTTCTCTATGCTATGTGTATTTTGTAGAGTTGTTGTGCTGGTTTAAAGGTAAACCAGCAGGGGAAATGAACTCAACTCAGAGGAGAGATTATAAGTCAGAATAACAATTTAATAAAATAATACAATAAATACAATTATACAGACAAACAGTTGATTTTAACCCACAAAACCCAAATGTATAACCCAGCACCCTGGGGCATGAACAGAGTGCTGTTCATTGGGCCCCCTGAGTCCAAAGTAAAAGGAGAGGGAAGAAACCTGTTGGTGAGAGTGCTGTTGCAGTCTGGTCAAGAGTGGTGATTGCACCCCGGTCGAGAGTGGTGGTTGCAGTCTGGTTGAGAGTGGTAGTCTGCAGTCTTCCTCTGGATCCCACGAGTGGTTGAAAAAGTCCCAAGACTCCAGTTCAGGCAGGAATGCCCAGTACCTCCCTCAGTGTGGGGAGTTCCACAATGGATGTGAGGACAGGGAGACACCCTCCTATCTCCCAGGCCTCTTAACACCCCGTTTATAGCCTAAGGAGTCAGGCCTGCTCTGGGCAGATGGTATAAATGGTCTATTGATAACAGTTTCTGGGAAATGGCATGGAAGACTATAGAATACACAGTTTTGGGTTACACCCATACAGTGATGAACTGGTCCCAGCTGTTCTAACTAGGACAGTTGTGTTCTAACTAGGACAGCTGTTCTAACTAGGACAGGAGCTGTCCTAAATAATCCAATTTAAGGTATTGTTAACACTAAATATCTCCATGGTGTAAATAAATCATGTCTTTAAAGTCTGCTTCACACCATAGTTGAACAGAGCTTATTTTTATCAAGTTGTAATACATAATGCAACTTATAGATTTCACTTGATCTTTACTTGTGATTTTTTTAAAAAAAATACTTAATTTCTTACATGACTCTGACATGGTATTTGCTGTGAATAGTTGCTACTTACTGTACGTTGCTCCTTAAAATATCTGATTAAGAGAGGGGTAAAATTGAATAAAATATCTTCATGAAAAATGCTGAAACCTGTTTTTCTGTCAAGAACAATGTAAGAACTGTTTCCCATGACTTGTATTCTTGGCTCATGAGGTAAAATGAAGCAAATGAAATGAAACAGGAACCTGTGCATTGTGAGGACCATCTTGTGAATATGAAAAGTGATTTGAGAAGACAATGTAGACTGTGATAAATGCATACACAAACATTTAAGGAAAGGGATGGAAGAAAGAAAAGGAAAGCAGACGCTGAAGTTTTTTCCCCATTTCTTATCTTATTTTCCTTTAACTGAAGAATGCAGCTATATGAATGGGAGGAGGAGAAGGAATTGGACTTGGAATCTCAGGAAAGGCTGCTCCATGGAAACTCTTTGGAAACAATGGGTTTCCAGGCACTACTAGAGAAAGCAAAGAGGCAATAGTCATTATGTGAGCAAACCTGAATTTTATCTTTGCCACATGTGTTCTTCCCTTGAAGAATTGATCGCATGTTGCAAGATGGTACTCTTCGTAGACAGTGAACTTCTATATGAAAAAAAGGTAGGAAGCACAAGAAGGAAAAAGAAAAGTGCTTCCTGAAGCAGGTCCTCCAGCTGTTGCTTGCTAGGGAGGTTCTCAGATAGGTTAATAGTACTAAAGCCCAGAGGTTTTGACATTTGATCTGTGTTTAAAAATCTGTGCACCAAACAAGCCCCAATTCTAGTAAGTCTTTCCACTTAGCCTATTACTCTTGAAAGACCTCTTTTTCTTGGATCAGAAAATGGACATAGCTTTATGCCCTGTTCCTCCTCAAAAAAGCCATGTGGACAAGAAGCTTTGAAGATTTGATGGTAGACCAAAATGGGCACTCCCCCTGAGAGCATTAAATTTAAGGTAATAGTGGGAGGGTATCTCTGTTGCTTGGCTCAGCCCAGCTAGCAGCCCACCTTCCCCTGAGAAGCTTTGAAACTGCACTCTGCCTTGGGGATGATTGCAGAACTGCATGTGTAGGAAGAGGAAAACAGGCTGTGGCACCTCTTTGCTGCCTAGCAGCTGCCTATGCTGGAGGGGAACTAGTTGCTCTTGCAGACCTCAAGGCTCTTAGAGAGCTGCTGCTGCTCCCTGAGCCTCCCCTTGTAACAGCCTCCTCTCCCCACAGATGGAACTACTTTCATGTACTGAATTTAATTTAGGAAACAGAACAGCTGTATTCCATACCAGTGGAAATGTGTGTTCTAGCACAGCCTCTATAGAACTGGTCTCAGGAATGAAGGTAGCCCACAGAACGGATAATTGAGGTGTATGCACAAGAATGGTCACAAGCTGCTTACCAGCCTTCATATTTAATCACAGTTATCACTTTAAAAAAAAAAAAAAAGTTTTGTTACCATTCCATTACCTGTTAGTCACAGCTTCAACTGGGTCTGAAGTGTTGTCAGAATGTCTTTTTCAAGCAATGTGAGATGTAAAAGCAAATTTCAAGAATATACCATGGCTGTATTACTTCATCGACCTGAAGAGCCTCAACAACCTGTTATATAGGAATGTACAAGGCTGAACATCTGAGAAATGCGTTATCTGTAACTTCTTTGCTGCCTTATCCTGTTTAAAAAAAAAATTAAAGATAAACCTAAACCAGCATAAATAATAACAAGTTTACATATCACTGCAACAATTAAAAATGTACTGTGGATTCTTGTGATAGTCTCTTGTAATAAACCTGGTATTTCAGGGCTAAAAAAAAGGAAGAAAATAAGTAATCAAGTTGATTAAGTCTGTAGATGATACAGTCCCAGAAAAGTGGGGACCATCATCAAATGGAAAAACTGCTGAACTATACTGAAATAGGAATTTCTTCATTTTCCTGGAGATAGGGCAGTGCAAACATAAATTTATTAAGGTCATAAACATGAAATGAAAACCTATATGCATATGGCAAATAAATATAAACAGCTAATTCATCAATAGGTATAAGTTTTTATTGGAAAGGCATGTCAATAGCAGTGTGAGGTGATTTTTTTTTTCTTTTCTAATAAGAGCAAAAAGAGATCTGTTTCTGTGAATTTCACTTTTGCAATATCTTCTTGACAGGTCAGGGTCTGAAATCAAGCACAATTTGATAAACCAATGCCACTTACTCTCTTAATTTTGATGGGAGCTCTTACCCACCTTCTTATGCACAAATCAAAAAGAAACTTAAGTTAGGACAGGGAAAATAACAGCTGCATCTAGCTGCATTCAAAATTTTGGTATGTAGTATCATGAAGCATGTTTCATTGACAATTGAATTGTCTTCTGAAATTGCTTTCCAGTGTGTATCTGTATTTTTTGAATGCAAAACAATAGTAACAAATGCAGCAGGTTGTACTGTAATGTTATCTAAATGTTCATCTTGTAGATACCTTAGGCACTCGTGGTGTGAAATGACTCGCAGTGAGAAATTTAACATGTGCAACATTTGGGGAAGAAGAAGAAAGCTATTCACGTATGCTTAAGAAGGTGTTAAAACCTTTGTGACTGACAGATTGGAAGCCCAAACTAAAAATACCCTTTTTTTGTGGAATTCTATATATGATATTGAACTAATTTATACAACCTGAGTAAATTAAGTGTAAACTAGTTATTAATTTTAAACAAGTGATATAAATGTTGCTAGATAAATCAGACTAATGAAAAGAGAATCTAAAATGGAGAAATGTACTTTGTGCTTAAAGCAGGAAAAACCACCAAGCAAAACCATGTTTAGCTGATGATCTCTTAACTTTTTCCAATAGATATTTACCTAGATTTTATTGTAAAATAGGATTTGGACCAAGAATGTAGTGTTGTTCTGAGATTAAGCGTATTAACTCTGTTCTTAAACTCCGAAGACATGAAGCTGCACTACGGGGATCTCACTGACAGCACCTGCCTGGTGAAGATCATTAATGAAGTCAAACCCTCTGAAATATACAACCTGGGAGCTCAGAGCCATGTCAAGGTGAGTAGCCTCTAGCAGCAAGAATTGTGAATGTGTGGTGGCGGTGATGGTATATTGCCTTGATTATTTTAGACTGCAGCATTTATAGCCATTTTAACAACTGCTAACTTCAGCAGGTAAACACTGCTTTAAATCAAGATAGTTGTGCTTGCTGCAGTGCTAAGTTAGTGCGTGAGTTTGCTACTGAATATATATTATGATGTCAATAGTAGAGGTTGAATTGTCACTGTCAACAAAATCAACTGGTTTAAAAATCTGATTTTTCTGCCATATGAAACAACTTTTGCTGTGGAGTTTGCTGCTCATCAGACCTAGTGGAGAAGTTATGTAGTGTTCTTACGCCAAACAGTGCTTAAAATAACATGATTTGGTTTATTTAAAATCAATACATATATCAGAGTGTGTCACTTTTAGAAAGGCTTTACCTATACCAGTTTTCATGCGGGTGGTATTCTTTGAAAGATTGATCTACAAATAGAGAAACAGCTCTGCTGCTACTTGCAATATTATGAAACTGTTGGGGTTTTGGTTGCAAAAATCAAGTCAGAGAAACTAGAACAAGAAGGGCTTGTTAAAGATTAGTCACTTGACCTTGGCAAGTACTGCTGCATCAAAAGGAAAGGAAATGAATAGTAGAGATGATAACTTTAATTTGGTTTTTATGTTTGTTAAGCTACTTTGCTGTATTATGGAAAATCTCAGTTTACTAACAGGTGACCTTTATTTACTTGCAAAATACTTATTCATTCTTCATTATTACAGACTGAAGCTGATGGCCAGGTACCAAATTGTCATTAAAATAAATTGTGTGTTAGTCATATGTTCTGTTGTTACTGTGTGAGATGTGAAAGTATTCTAAAGTGTTAATATTCCCTGGCTTCTCTTGAGCTGAGAAGTGAAGGAGCATTTAAACTTCATGAAAATCAGTTTGCCTTTAGTTTTGTAAGTCAGCCTTCCTACAAAAAGCAACTTGTTGTTCCTATCATTCTGTAAGCCTTGAAACCCAGCAAGAGGAAATCATGTTGAAAGAATACAGTTGTGGACAACACAAACAGCAGAATATAAAGACAAAATGAGAATAATTTTGCTTATAATTTGCTTGCATGATTGAATTATCCACCTTGCTCTGTGGTAAACATGGGTCTGGTTGGATTTATTAGCTCAGGTAGAGCAGTATAATGACAAGGCTGTATGAATCCAAGGGCAGCCTTGGTCCAGAAGGCGATTGAACTGCTGTTTTGCAGAGTGAAACCTGAGCCAGCAAACTATGCTGGAGTATTTGCAGTTCACAGCTAGGCATCCCAGCATTCCTTTTCTTGAACTGGTTAGCTGTATAGCAATCTCCATGGAAATTACCTGTCCTCCTTAGATGATAGCGTGGTACTAATATTCTAGTACCAAGCTATCTCCATGTGGCTGCTGCAGCTCAGTCACAGCACTGAGGTGGCATGAAGGGGGAGCTGGTGGTGGTGGTGGTGATGCTATAGATATTTCCATGAGTGTCATGGGATACAGGAAACATCATTCCTGAAATATCTCACTGCATGAGCATTTTGAACCCATGAAGATCTGACCCAGTCTTAGCTTTTGGAAATCTAATGTATCTTGAAGGACAATGAAAATGGCTCTCTTGGAAGCTACCCTGAATGCAACAAGCCTATACTTAGGCAAAGTTAGCAGTCCTATATGAAGTCTAGATGGACTTCTTTGAAGTGTGCTTGCTTCCTAGCATCTCCAGTAGTACTTCTGTTATTGCAGTTGAGGAGAGAAGGTAGGCACCCCAAATCTGTTGACTCAGGTGATTGGGGGACTTGACTATGGTATTGGTAGGACTTAAAAATGGTCCAACAGTGTTTACCATTTTAAAATAATTGCCAGTGCTGAAAGAGGGAGTGGAACCTGGCCATCTGTTCAGGTGAATGTCTTCACCAGAGACCTGAACAGCTCTTACTATTAAACTTTGGTTATATAAACTTACTGGATTTGCCTGTGTGCATCATGTTTGGGGAAGGAGGGAAAGGAACTTCTAATCTTAGCTTGCTTCATGTTCTGGTGGCTTTGAGTCAGTGACATCTTCAGTATTTTTTTGGTGGTGTTTATGTTGGCTTGTGTTTATGCAGAATAAAGTTTTCTATCACTCTCACTTCCAGTTAGTTTATGTGAGCCATGCTGAAATGAAGGAAAATAAAATCATAGGAAGTTGGTCTGGTTTCCTGTAGGAAACCAATGAAGATGAAATTGGTTCTTGGAATGAACCCACAGTAGTCTGGGAAATACTGTCAGAGAAGACGTTTTTCTGAATCATAAATAGTGAGGGCTGTGACTCATAAAGTAGGTCACTGGGAGGCTGATCTGATCTTGTACATGGGAGAAAGTGAGAGAAGACTGAAACTTGTTTCTTATTAAAAACAGTAAACTTAACAGAATGATATCATCAGTAGGAACAAATTATCCAGGGTACATTCCTGTCTGTTTTGGTGAGAAACAGGGATTAGCTCTCTGCACTGTGTCTTTGCCATCGGATGTTCAGAAAACAGTGGCACATTCACTTCATAGTTACTAAATAAACATTTCAGCCTCATTTTCTCTATCCAGTCTTTATATGTCCTCCTCCTTTGCATTTTAGTTCATTGGGAATCTGATGTGCTGACTGTGATTTGCTTTCATTTAATTTAGTTTCATGGTAGTGATTGTTTACAGTATATTAACTCTAAACAATAATCTATTATTGTATATAGTAGCATTCAGATGGCTTAATTCAAATTCTGTTATCCAGAACTCTGTACTCATATCCCTCTGTCTGTTGAATGTCTTGAAAATAAATTATCCAAATGATAGGTTGGCTAAAATGATGTAAATGTCTCTTCTTGCACAGGTTTCAGAGGAGGCACACACATAGATATAAGGTTGTAACTGTTTTTTCCTGAAGGACAGATGGTCTCATCAGTAATTGACTGTGCTCTAAGATTTTCTTTTTGAGTTGTATTGAACTAGTGAAGCTGGCAAATATTTTTTGACAAATTTCTGAATCCAAAAGGCAGTGTAACCTTAGTAAAAGATACCTTGCTTTCAGCACTTGAAACTTTTTTAATGTATCTGAGCAGTTAAATGTAGGACTGAAGAAACGGCTCTGATTTTATGGCTCTTGCTTTCCTAGTAGTCAAGTATTAAATAGTCTAGTAATGCATAGGTCTTCAGAGCTCAGGGAGGAAAATTCTAACTTATGCAAAAACCTGTGCTCACCCATGTCTCTTATTGCATCCTGAAGTTATAGCTTGCATGCTGCTTGGTGGGAAAGTGGGATGTCTACAGGGAGAGGAAACTCGAAGTACACAAGAAAAAGTTTACATCATATAATTTAACAGGATCACAGAATGGTTAAAAGTTGGAAGGGACTTCTGGAGACTGTCTAGTCCAACCCCATTACTCAAAGTGGAGTCAGCTAGAGCAGGCTGCAAAGGACCTTGTCCAGTCAAGTTTTAAGTAGGATGGAGACCCCCAGAGCAACTGTTTCCTCACCCGTGCAGTTCCATTACCCTTACAGTAAAAAAACAACACATACCACCAGAAATGTTTTCATATTTTTAGATGGCATTCGCTGTATTTCAGTTTGTGACCTCACCTTCTGTCGCTGTATACCACTGAGAAGAGTCTGCTGAGGGTAATGGTGCTGTGCAACTCTGTAGTGAAGAAGACAGTGGTTAGGACATGGTATGGAAGCTGGAATCCTTCTGTTTAGGACACAAGCAAATAAAAAAATTAAAATTATCTGTTGCTGACTTTCCCCTGCAGGTTTTATCAGTGATGTTGTAGGGGCAGTCCTCTTTTCTGATTCCTTCTTTATCCATGCAGTTAGCATAGTTGAAAATTATTTATGAGAAAGTCTGTGTAGGAGAGGATGGTGTCACTCTGAGGCAGTTTCATGTGAAGAACGTACTTCCACTGCACATATACAGTGAGTACTTAGCTATGAGGATAGTCAAGGCACTAAATAACTTAGCACAGAACTAAGTCAGAATTGAGTATTGAAGTCTCCTAAATGCTGAATTGTGGGATCCTTTCAAGGTCTGTCCTAATGCTGTTCAATAGCCAGGTTGGGAAACGTGCCCTCCTTAGAGAGCGGCTCTCTATTAAGCTCCTTATGTTGAAAACCCTTCAATTTGATTTTGCTTAGCTTTAGGTATCTCAGTAACACTGAAGCAAAATAGCTTCTGGTGATTGCTGTCATTGTCTATTTGATGAATTAATTCTGAAAGTAATTCTTTTGCACTGGAGATGTGTTTTGGTATGGTGGTCCATGTGTTAAACAGGAATGCTCCCCTCTAATTTGTAGGGTGGATTATTTTTTCTTGTCACATGTAAATGCCAATCAGTAGTCTTAATTATGTTACTTTTGTACATACCCAGTTTGGTTCTGATCCTGCAGTGCTTTCTCATGGCAAAAGATTGGGTTTGTTGTTTTTGTGCGTTTGAGTTTTCTTAACTTTTCTCATTATTTAATACAATATTACTTACATGAAACTGTAGGCTAAATAATTCAAGGAATTAACTGTAAAGCTTTGCCAGTATTTGCACTAGTAAGAAGGCTTAGAATTAGTCATTACAGCTTGCATAATAAATGTTTTATGTACTGTACCTCATGGTTCTTATCATTCAGTATGCTGTTGTATTATTGCATAGGTTTTAAGCTTCTTATGAATGTCACAGAAGCTCATGGCTTCTGAGAAAATTAATGGGGGTTTTTTGTGTGTTTTATAGAACGAGCATTTTGGCCTCTCAGTGCACCAAGTTTTAGTCTAGTTAATTTTAAAGGACATTAGTAATACTCTGTAGAGTTGTAGTAAGACTTATTCATAGGGAAAAATAAGTGTAACAGACCTTAGTTTTATGTAATTAGAGAATTTTATAGCTACGCTTTATAGAATATTTCTTGTCTGAATATGATATCAAATTACTTCTAATTTAGCATGTATGGCTGTTCAATTTATTAGCCAAAACCT